AATTTTGCAAAAGGTCCTGCATTTGCTACTGCTTTACATTATCCATTTTTGGTTGACCGCGCCTAAAATTTCAATACTGGCGCGTTGGACGCCAATAAACAATAAATTTGATGGGGGAGCGGGGTTAAAAATCGCGATTCTGTTTTTGCCAAAATCGTTCAATAAGTGCTCTAAAATATCATGATGGCCTGCTGTTTCAAAATTGACGAACAGTACTTTGACAAAACAGAATCGCGACGGCAGTAAGGAAGACGCCGAAAAATCATTTCATTTGACTTAAAAATGCATATTTTAAAAAAGTCTTTCAATCTATTAAAAAGCAAAACCGTAACCCTTCGGAATATTACTGCTCACGCCACCACTGTCCCAAATATAACTCAACTTCACATGATCTATACCAGGAAAATTTTCAGAGTCAGCAAGAGATAAAATTTTCAGCAAAAAGGGGCAAAAAACGGCAATTTTTTAAACATTATTCTGGGTATCAACTAACTGTGAAATGGTGTTCAGTTCCATCACTCTGTTGAGTTCTCGATTTGTTTCTTCTGTTGAGTTTCTAAAATAAAAAAGTGGTTGTTTTATGCCAATTTTTCGAAATTATGTGATTAAAATCAAGTTAATGCACAAAACATATTTTCAAATCAAACAAAATTGGTCAAAACATGAATGTATTGACTCCCCTTTAACGTCTATGTCATATTGCTTTTCCAAAACGATGAAATTTTTTCTGAGTTTTTCAATTTTTCAGCTCCTCTGGAACATACTTTTCAAAACAAAAAAATTGGTTTATTTAGCGACTAGTAACGTATTACAAAGACCAGTTTGACTGCCTTTTTTCAGTTTGAACAATTTTTGGGTCGGATTAGCTCTTCGCCTTAAACTGCCGAATATGCAAATGTCGATTCTTAAAAAAAAATAAACACCGTTAAATTAGTTTTTAAAATTGAGATCAAGGCGTTACTGTTTTCGAAAAAATTTGAAAATTTTCGTTGAGATGATGTTAAAACATCGGTAAAAATCTGTTGAGAAAAGCCTTGTCAAAAGGTCTAAGTTATTCCAAAAATTTTCTTTGAAAAGTCGAAACAACAGCTATGGCTAGTTAGCCTAATGCAATATGCTCCACTGTTTTTTGTCTCCGGTTGTTGCAATCATTGAAAAAGGTGGAATTTTTGCTGCGATGGAGGTTTTTGGTTTCCAAAACGATAAAAATATATTTCCACTCGTGATCATCCTAATTGCAAAACTATAGGGGTTTGATAAATGCCAATTGGGTCACTTCGGGTCAAATGTTGCTCCCTTATTACTAGTTGCTTAACAACTCGTAGCGTCAGTGGAAAAACATTCCAGCTCAAAAAAAAATCCAGAAGATATAAGACAAGCAAATTGATTCAAACATAACGTAAACAGGCGTAAAACTGTTTAATTTGTACTAAACTTTATGAGTGAGAAGGATTTGCAATAATTTTGCTGATCCTTAGATAAAAATTTCTTTCATTAAAAATATTTTAAGATCTTTTTCACCGATAAAAAACAGAATATGCAAATTGACAAACAATGTATGAATTTAAAGTTTATGGATAAACAGTACACTCTTAACCCATATGAACACCCGCAAAATGTCTCTTCAGCCAATTATTGCTCCGACTTTCTAAAGACCTTAAAAGGCTGTCGGAACATTCAGGGCTTCACCCTGATACGAGCAGTCTTGTTAGGATCTTAGTTGCTGATACTGTTTTTCTTAATACTGAATTTCATCCTTAATTCTGAAATGCTCATCCAATGTATTAGCCTTTCCCCTTTATGGAAAAGACGGGCCACGCGTTCAGATAAAATAGCATTTAAATTTGAAATCATAACAATCATCAAAACTTAAAAAAGGATAGCCCATTACTGTGCAAGTAGCACAGAATATTCTGACTATAATGTTTAAAAAAAAAATCAAAAACTTTTCAAAATAAGGTCGCTTTTTCTGCGTGGTGTAAAAAAAATCTATTCTAAAATCAATACTTGGGGCATATGAGACAGTCATCGTAAAATAATAAAATTGTACATAAGAAGAAAAATGACAAAAAAATGCATTAAAAATCATAAATTGAAAAAAAAAGTTTTTGATTAATGACGCTACCCTCCGAAATTGAATCGATAAAACGAAGTTTCTAAGGCATAAATTAAGCATGATTAAGCTATTGTGAGCCTGCTTGCTCGAGCTTAGTTTGAAAACCGAAAAATTGTTAAGTTGTTTTTCCCAATTCTGAGACATTTTTTGATACTGGGTTTTACTTTGATATGTCATTCGACCCATTCCAATGAAAACTTTTGGTAACCGATTTCGCGTTAGAAAAACTTAAAAAACTTAAAATATATAAATCTTCCTCATTTTTATTGATCGGAACAAAAACCAAAAGAACGGTTTAATTTTAAGGTCATTAACTGTGCAAATGTAATAATAATTAATTGCCAATTTCGCAAACTGCGTAAAATTTGGTCCTAACTCCGCAAATTTAGCTGATTGAGCTAATTTCCGGAACTGCACTATCTTTTAACCATTTGTTTCTAGATTCTACAACAGCAGAGAGGTATAAAAAATAGCCTCATTGCGGAATTCGCGTTAATAATTTTCAAGCCTTGTCGCACAATCAGCAAAAAAGAACAGGTTTGTTTGGCCTCGTATTGCAGTTTCTCGCACTGATAAATCACATGGTTTTGTACTTAAAACTTTTCTAAGCCAATTTTTTTTCTCGTCATTGTTCGCCTTAAATGTGAGAGTAAGTAGCTTTTGAAACTTCGCGACAACTTTAAATTGATTGCGTAAAGATTCAATTGATCCCTATGAGTACAACTTATTTCATTTTACCAGTAAAAAAATTGCTAAAATAATTTTGATTCTAAGAATGAGTTAACTTATGATTTGTATCATTTTTCCGAGTTTCCGTCAAATTTTCATTTCCAAATCAGCTTGATAAGTCATAGATGAAAAACGTATTGCAAGTACAAATCAGGTTCATATTTACCGTGATTTTTTCTGACTGTCCACTCGGCAAATGTATGTGAGGCAAACGATGTTCATGGTTACACTGACAATTAGAAAAATGACACATGCTGTGATTGCCACCGACCATGCTGTCATATTCTTCTCGTCGCAAGCCAAAGTAGCAGAGGTAGCGCAACAACTGGCAGCTAAAACTGTACATGCATGCACCAGCAGATTTAGGGGGGGAGGGGGTTAGAATTTGACTTTTTATTATATTACAGAAGCAAAAAATAGTTAATGCTAAATAAAGGGGGGGGGGGGGCAGAATTTGACTTTTTATTATTTTACAGAAGCAAAAATAGTTAATGCTAAATAAAGGGAGGGGGCAGAATTCGATTTTTTATTATATTACAGAGACAAATAAAGTTGTTCTTTTTGACGTGGGATTTTAGTACTGATTTCCACACTTAAGACCCGTGTCCGAAAGCTAAATCACCTAAACTGTTATAGTTTCGCCCAAATAAGTTACCCAAGGTTGCCGATACTGCCAATAAAATAAAATATTGTCACAATTTTTTGATTAATTGGTCAATTGTTCGGCCGAATAATTGAAGACTCTCAGGTGAAACTAATAATACTCGTAATTTGAGATTAAGGTGACATTTGCATAATGAGGTCGGCCAAAAATGGATGTCGTAAAATAATCACAAAGGGGGGAACCTTTTGGTCGGTTATGAGGCCAAAAGCCTGATTGCAAGAAGCGTCCGCAAATCCCCCCCTAAACCTGCTCCTGGCTTTCACCAAAACAAAAAAAGGCACTAATTGATCCCATTAACAATCGACCATTTCTAAATGGCCATTAACTCTATTAACTCTCATGGCTTCAGCAATATACGTTACGTGTAAGAGCTGTTTTCATTTTCTGGGAAACTCTAAGATCATCTGGGTTTGTACGTCCACAATCAGTCTTCGACCCGATCGCTACTTCCACGGTTAGAGTGTACACTGTTGCATACTTCAGATCGTGAAAGTATCCCTCCAATTTATCCAGAGGGGGAGCGTCTGGTGGCTCAATAGAAGCTGTGATCGTGTCAAAGTTGGAGTTTTTTCGGATTACTTGATAGTGTATGATCCCATAGTCATAGGTTTCGAATATTACCTCAGGCACCAAAGGCGCTAAAATGATGAGCAAACATTGCCAATATGGCTTGAATTTACATGGCTTTAGCTTGCTTTTGAACTACACTCAATTCTGTAAATAACCTATTTTATTATCATTTTTGTCGCAAATGGTGTAAAATTGCTACAATTAGAATAAATTTTTCAAATGTGACTTTTTTGAATTGCTTAAAGCCTTTGCCGTTACAAGTTTCGCTTCGACACAAAATCTGCCCATCTTTTAAAAAATTTATCGAATCCAGTGGCGTGCACAGAATTTTTCCTAGGGGCCGGTTTTTCGGAAAAAAAACTTGAAAGTTTTGTCGACAAATTTGATTTTCCGAGGACCGTATTTTATCAATAACGCCGCAGGCAAGCCTTTGAAAAAACAGGCTAGAAATGACGTTTTAAGCACTTTTAAAGAATATTTGACCAAAAAATTTAAAATTTCGTTTTTTTTTGGTACTCTTTACAGCTTAAATTTAGTTATATTGGTGCCAAAGGCGCCTTTAGAAATTTTTTGATTTTGTTCAGCCAAACATGGATCTCGTAAAATTATACCACAGGGCGACCTTTTGGAAAAATTTTGCGACCAGAATTGAAGAGAAGCGGTCGCCCCGCTGCCCCCCCCCCCCCCCCCCTCCTCTTCTCCCCACTCGGCTCGCTACGATCGAATCAAAACCGAATAAAAAGTGTCTTATAGAAAAAACCACCCCATTCGACGTTTCCAAAATTTTTGAAATACGAAAATTGTATTTTTACCTGTGCAAGCCACAAGCTCCTGTCGATAGCGGATGTCTCCAACGTCACAGTTAAAAGACGGAAACTCAAAATTCATCCAGAACTGATTGCCTGCAGACAAGTCGTGATAAGTATCGCCGACTGTATTATCAAATGGAATCCAGAGCCTTGCAGCGAAATCTTCGGTTTCATTAAGAGTTCCAATAGAAGCAAAGTTGAACAGTTCAGTGGTGAAAAAATGGGGCGGAATGTTTATGGAGTCAGTAGTAGAAGATACGTTTTGACCTTCGGCGACCAAGTTCCAACGCCTCGCCCTCGAATATGTGTCTAAAAGTAAAATTACTAACAAAATTTAAACAGAATTTTAACCCGCTAATCGCATAACTAGAGCAACTTGAGATCCATATTTACAAATTTCCAAGTCCCCATTTACAATAATAAAATTCCGCAGTAAAAAGTATTAACCAATTAAACCCCCCACTCTGAATTTTTTAAAGGGGAGTGGGAGAAATTAACTAACCTGAAGAAGTGCATATTGTAAAATTTCCTCCAACCATATCATAAATTCCCCAATCTGAAGAATAAAAGTTCTCAATAGTGAGCGTATACACACTATCTGGCTTCAAATTTCGCATCTGGAGTTCCGCCGGGTATGAACTGGACTCAAATGTTGGGTCTACACTACATGGCAAACTATGCACTTTACTTTTGGCCATCCAAAAGGTGCAAGAGGCTCCGTTGACAAACCAGAGACCATAATCGGAATAATCATAATAACCAGGATCATAATCATGATTATAGTAGTTTGTCATGTAGACGTGAATATCAAGGGTTGACCAATCGAAGTTTTGACCGTTAACATCCTCTCCGAGACTGACATATAAATTGCCCGTGACAGCTGAAAAACATGACACAGGATATTTTCCGTGCAAAAATTTGCAGTTACCGCGCAGATAAACTGCTTTTGGTGATTTTAGCCATGTAAGTTAATTTTAACATTTTTACATGGAATTATATACCAACAATGTAACTTTTTGAATATGGCTAAAAAAAATTTAAGTTTGAAAATTTTGATGGTTGAGAAAAAAAGGACTGTTTGCAACCAAAAAAAAGGCTAACAATTTCTTACCTCAAATTTGTGTTTTTGCTTATGAAAAAACGCATATCATGCATTTTTTCCGACCGAAATTAAAATTATGTTTTTGATTGTCAAAACGCCTCTACCTTAGATGTAATTATTTAAATCTTTTTAAAGTTACTCACACACGTTTTTGGTCGTTTTTGAAAATTTCATTTTCTCTATGACAAAATGGTTATCTTATATTTTTCAGACATGAAAATTGTATGTTCAGCATTTTTTATCAAAAGTTTCGAATCGTTTTTTTTTGATGACCAGAAAGCTTCAAAAGTGGCAAATAGACCAAAAATGTTCATTAAAAATTTTTAAAACAGTTTTTAAATTTTATATGAATTTTGATAGATAAAATTTTTTTTCATAGAATCAATATATGAAACTGTATGATAAGCATTTTTCTTCTGTGGCCGTCAACCCGGGGTGTGGGAATGGTTTTTTTGAGGCGGAAGAAGCAATAGTTTTTTGAAAGGTGCTTTTGTTTTCAATCAAACTCTAACAAAAACGATTCTTTAGACTAAAAGGAGCAGTCAAAGATTTTTTCGAACAGTTGTTTTGATTAACAAAAACAAAAATCCAGAAAAATTTTTTTGTGTTAAGTTTGTATCTTCTTTTTTTTACAAAACAGAAAAAACACGTAGTAGGATTCTGATGAAGCCAACTAATGAATCAAATTCAATTATATTTGTGGTCGATCTGCAATTACAAAAATCCAAAAAAAGTAATATTTGGGAAAAACTTTCGATTGACTGTTTTGATTGATTCTAGACAAAATAGCTGAAACATAGTCACACTTTACGGTAATGTATCTGTTATAATTGCACTGTAAATGTAAACGCTACGTATTAGTTTACTTTTTAAAACTAAATCACACAACAAGTTTCCAATTTCTTATACACATGGCGTAACGTAACCTGTGTAGTGTAATTTTTCCGGGTGGAACGTTTAAGGTTAGCTCCAAAATATGTTGCTTCCAGACTATGCAGACAGAGTAAACGTTTCTGCAGTTTATTCAGTCAATTTTCACCGATCGAACTAATAATTTTCAACAAAATTTTTTTTTACCCTATTGAAGATATTGACGTCCTAAGTTCAAATGTAAGAAGATTTTTCAGCTTCGATTCTTTTTTGTGAACTTCTGGGGGTTTGAAAATTGCCAAATTTGTCATGTTCTGGATTAAATTATGCGCGCTTTGAATAGTTTATTCTTATTGCTGAGAGCGTAACACGAATTATTCATGCGTGGCGAATTATCACGCACAACAAAATCGTTCCAAAATGAATTGAGGCTAGCTAATTGGAGGTTGTATTAATTTTGTACGACTCAAAATTTAACGCTTTGATTTTCTCCGAAATGTATAAGTTTTTTTTTATATTTTCTTTCCCAAAAACTATTCGATATTAAGGGACAGTCGGAACATTCAGGGCTTTCCCCTTATATACGATCAGTCTTGTTTTGTGTTTTACGGCATTTGTATTACATTGAACAATGTTTGTTTTCAAATATCACGTTCTTCCCACTCAAAAAAGTTCATTTTTCCTACGTTGTTTTTCTCTGAAACTCAAAGCTTACTCGTTGTGATATCAAGTCATCAAAAAGTAACACTCGGTACATCCAAACAACGCTTCTCGGAGTTTTGGGAGTGTAGCTTCAAGTCAGCTACTTATGTCTAGACTGTCGCGACCTTATCGCTATAATTTTGCGTCACTTTATCAAATTAAATCGCGATTAGATCTTAGGCTAAATCGCGACAAATGTTCAGAAAGCCACAACTAACTTTTAACTTGTCCAGTCTTTGTAAAAATAACGCGGACCTCAACCCGGTATGAACCGAAAAAAAAAGTTTGAACCCACTTGAGAGAACTAAGATTATACAACAGAAGAAATCAAAATACCAGTGCAAAAATATTTGTAATCGTCTCCTCCACTGCAGTCCCGGCCAGTTTTTGTGTACGGGTTATTTCTATACAGATCACAGCACACTGTACTCAACGTGTAGCATGTATCAGGCTGCAGACCAACGGCGTACACTTTTCCCGGTTTTTGGGGCGAATCCGACGGATAGAGGCTGACTGTGTTACTTGCTCCAGAAATGTAAATCTCGTCGCACAAGATGAAGTTGTCGAAGTATCCAGAGATTTGTACTTCGAAAGTAGCGCTTGTCAAATCCACGCCGATGAGTTCAATTTGATGCTCCGGGCGAGCTAAACATGTAATCAAGTGCAGTGAGGAATCACTCAAAAATAGATTGTAATTTTGACTCGCTCAGTAAATAATCATTATGCAATTTTTCTGAGGGTGCCTGATTGTCAACAAGGTTTTAAGTGTAACAAAAACTGCTCAAACTGTTCAAATCTTGCATGCAAAAAGTCGACATCTCGACTGGAATACTTCAGCCGCAAACATCATTTTACAGAAAAATTGGAATTAATTTCAAATGAAATAAACGTAATTTTATACCATGAAAAATTTTTTCCTCTAACGCAAACAACGCCAGCTAAAAACTAAAAATTTACTGAAGATATAATTAACAATAGCAAAAGTAGGCTCATCTGGAATCATGAAACACCCTAGTTGCAACTTAACCTTGACTTGAAAGTTTTACAAGAGTACGTGATTATCAAAAACTGGTTGAATAAGTACTAGATAAATAGCTACGTTTTTAGAAGAAAAAATTACCAGTACAAAAATCCGCGCTTCTTCGATAACAGTCTTGTCCGGTTTTGATGTAAGGGTTATCTCTATACAAATCACAGCACACTGTAGTCAAAGTATAGCACGTTTCTGGTTGCAATCCATCAGCGTACACCATTCCCGGTTTGCGTGGAACATCTGTAGGGTACAGTTCGATTGCAGCATTCGGGGGGGCTGATTTCGATCTCGTCGCACAAGATGTAGTGGTCGGTATATCCGACAAGTTCCACTTCGAAGGAAGCACTTATCGGGTCAACATCAATTAAATATAATTGATGCTCGAGGCTAGCTAAACACGTGAACATCTCCAACATACAGTTGGAAAAAATCAAAGAATCTAAGGAAGCAAAAAAACACTGATTTCAACTTCAACTTTAATTTAATATTGATACTTTTTTGATAAAAACAAATCAATTTTAAAAAAATGGACCAATAGGTTATCTTTTTATTCTACTGAGAATTTTGAAAATTGAATTTCACTTTCAAAATTAGAAGTTGATCACAGTTTTCGTGACTTTTCCGCTTGCGTAATTTGAGAACGCAGTTGCTTATTTTAAAGCAAATGAACTTGTAGTAATTTCAAAAAAAGCATATGCACTTAATTGCAAATACATCTAACAAAAAATTATCACGATCTATAAAAGATACTTTATTACGTTCATTAACTCTTCATTAATCGACGAATCATTCAAAGAAAAATTGAGACTTTGACGCAATCACTGATAATTCAGTAAGCAAAGTTCCTTTGCATGTAGCAATTTTAATCACAATTTGGTGGGATGCAAAATCTGTTTTATGAAAAAACTTTTACAGTTGTTAATTTCAAAATAACCAACGATCAATTTAGATCATGACTATATGCTTTCTTAAAAAAAGTCTCAAACTTAGTCGTACCCAAAGAAACCATTGTTAAAACTATCACAAAGATGTAAATCTGGTATAAGTTATATACACCAGATATACCGGAAATGCGTATTTTTTAGAAGGAGCTTTACACCATTTGTGATGCCACATAAAAATAGCAGTGCAATCTAGTAGGCAGGAAGAAAAAATCACGACGTTAAAAAATTTCAAAAACAATTCAAAAAACCTTAAACAAGTCAAATTCTAGTTCGGAATCATGTTCTATTTGCGGAAAACACGTCCAGAAAACACAATCGACGGCAAAATATTTAAACAAGCGGCAATTGAGCTAACAAAAAATAAACAATTTCCCGTATTTCCATTCTGAGATTGGTTTTTTTTGCATTTTGCGCCGTCTAGCAAAAAGCGTAAAAGTTATGCTTATTTCGAAATGACCTCAGATTATATCACTAAGCGAAAAAAGTATAAAATAAATCACTTAGCCGAATAAAATTTGTAAGCAGAAAAAAACAAAATCAGCATATTCTACGAAGCCAAGGATAGTAAAAGCGAAAATGGCACGAGTTATTCAAAGCACTGAAAGCAACGACACTGAGAATTACGTAAAAAAAACAAGTAAGCCGACAAAACAAAGAGACAAACTAATGGCCGACATTTTTTTGGAAAGGGAAATTTCCAGTTTAAGAAAACACCTTCTGAGGAGATTTTAACCCACGAACTTTGCCGTCCATGCTCAGAACCGGAAACGCATACAAGTTTGAGTTCATTATGAACCAAGATAAAAATAAATCAAAGGATACTGTTTAACCGTTTTTTAACCAAAAAAAAGACTATCGCTAGCAGCGTGATCAAAGATCTCATGGTGGCACATAGTGAGACTGTGCATTTATTTAAAATCAGATTTTATTAAACACCAGACTAAAAGCCTCGTTTGTAAGATTAAAAAAAGTAAAAGTGCAAAAATCCTCTCCTCCTCGATCTAAATGAAAAAAAATAGATCTCGAAAATGAGGTTTCATTTTAAAAAGTCAGACAAACGATTGCCTTTACAATAGAAACAAAAATACCTGTGCAAAAATCCTCGCTTCCTCCATAACAGTCCTGCCCAGTTTCGTTGTAAGGATTATCTTCATACAAATTACAGCATAATGTAGTCAAAGTGTAGCACGTTTCTGGTTGAAGTTCATCAGCGTACACTTTTCCCGGTCTCTGTGGAATATTTGTAGGGTACAGGTGGATTGCAGAATTCGAGGGACCGATCCCGATCTCGTCGCACAAGATGTACTCGTCTTCGTGCCCAAT